ATAGAGTACAAGTTATTTATAAATCACTCGATAAAACAAAGTGTTGTAAACATCAATCCCAACTAGACACTTGTACAACTAACAAATGTATTTATATGTTTTGTTTTTATTCTCTAATATTCCCCTGCAAACTGATGAATCTTGAGTTACAGTCAGTTTGGTACGAAGTTGCTAAAAGCGAGGTGTGGATAGCGGTTTTGTAAGTATATCGACAATTTAATCTAAGGTAGTTATAGGAATCGACAATTTCGGCCGTCATCGATGGTGATAGAATCAGAGCCTCAATATGGGCTTGCTATGGAAAGATTATCCAAGGAGTTTGTGACATGGGATGACGCTCCAGAGTCAAGAAATCAGTTGTTGTTAGATGCAGGTTCGAAATTAGTAACCATCACTCGATTTGGTGAACTGGCAGATGCCAAAACATATTAAACGTTGAGTCGATGCCAGCAAGCTGAGGCATATTAATAATTTAATTACATATAAACTTCAGTATTATTATATCAAATCATAATACATTACTTTCAACCCATTTTTAGTAAACATTTTTTTACTCATTTTACTCAGAAATTTTTATACACATATTTAATCAGTTAAAATGCAAGAAAATCATATTATATTATTCATAATAATTAAATCGATAACATATAAAAAGTCACACAGTAAAAGCTCATGAAATAAAGAGATAATGTATTCTTAAAATATTTGGGAAAGATAAATTCGTAGAAATTAAATTCGTCGAAGATGCATGTAAGATGATAGTTACTCACAATGATCATAACACTTTTTATAATAGAAACAATGAGCACAAAAGTTCTGAAGAGCTTTCTCTCTCTGTTTCTTCCCCCCCCACCCCCCTCTTCCTCTCTTACCTTTCCTTTTTGGCCAAGCCATGCAAAATAAGGATGAGGGAGATGGAATGATAGGGATATTTAGAATAAAAGATATATAAAATTACTATTAGTAGCCTAGTGACATAATGTTGAGACCTAGTGCTGCAGCACTGTATGTATAATTCAAAACTACTATAGAAACATAGACTTCAACGTTGCAGTGGTATTTTCTAGCGCTAATGCTCTCTCTAGCCTAGCGCCTTAGCACTCATAATCTCAGTGCCGCACACTTTAATTCACATATTTCATTTTAAGATATGTTTTTATATTTTGGGTTGTTATATTTTATCATTCAAATGATCTCATGAAGGTTTCAACAATATTTATGAGTGCTTTATTTAGCTTTGTTTGGATCATATTGAGGCATTTTTTGTATTGTTGAACTCTTTTCAACAATATACTCGTTTCAACTATTGTTGCATCCTGGAATATTCATGAAGGTAGAGAAATATAAAGCTTAATGTCTTAGCTTTGTATGAAGATTCAACACACAATCAGATAAAAAGACAGGTTACAATATTTATAAGAGACACCAAGAATTTTATGTGGAAAATCCAGAAAAAGGAAAAAATCATGGGGCCTAGCCTAATTTGAATGAATCTACTAGTGTTTGCAGTCGATTAAAATGAGGCCCTGCCTTGGGGGAAGGCCTTGGCTTGATGTAGCAAATATACATCATAAAGATTGCATTACATGGTGGAAATTGGAAGAATCATAATTGATTTATTTGTTCGATCGTTAGGATTATGGTCAGATGATGATGGATGTTGGAAAGATCGTATTCAGGTGATGGAGGTCAAAAGTATAATAGTCAACAGACGACGAAGATCAAAAAGAGTATTGTTAAGTGAAGGAGGTTGGAAGGACCGTAGTCAGCGGGCGACGGAGGTCGTAAAAATCGTTGTGTTGCCATGATGGTCATAAGGATCATAGTCGGAGGGTGACAAAAGTCGTAATGATCGTTGTCTGGCAATGTAAGTCGCAAGGACCGTAGTCGACGGGTGACGAAGGCCGAAAATACCAATGTCAAGTGATGGAGGTCGAAAGGACCGTAGTCGGCGGACGATATAGGTTGGAAAGATTATTGTCTGGCGATGGAGGTTGGAAGCCATCGTGTTAGGGTGACAGTGGTCGAAATGACCATTGTCACACAGCGACAAAGGTAGAAAAGATCGTTGCCGAGTGGAAGTACAACAAGAATTAAAACTCGAATGGATGTCGACGTTAGTTGGTGGCTGGACGGAAGTCCGGCATCAGTCAATAGACAGGTGAAAGTTCCATGTCAGTCGATGGTCGGGCGGAAATCCAGTGCTAGTCGGTGGTCGAGCGGAAGTCCAACGTCAATTGGATGTCAGGAATAAGTCCGACATCAATTCGACGATGATTGATAACGATAAGTAGCTGGAAGGTGGTCGAGGAGGACCTTGGTGGCAAGAGAAATCATTTATTTCTGTTCATTTCCTCTCTTCTTTCTCTCTTTATTTGGCCCTCCATGAGAAATGATGGGTACATTTTAGGGATGTAAGTGAGCCGAGCCGACTCTTGAGCTGGCTCGAGCTTGACTCGATAACGAGCTCGCAAGTCGAGCTTATCGAGCAACGAGCTTGAGCTCGAGCTTGTTTATTAAATAAGCTCGAGTTCAAGTTGGTAAAAGCTCGGCTCGCGAGCTCACGAGCTAGCTCAAAATGATTTAATTAATTAAATTATTTTAATAAATTAATCAACAAATAAATTTTAATTAAAAAGATAGTTTGAGGTTTCAGCTCTTCATTATTATAGTTTCTCATAAAAGTATACCTATTTCGGCTCTTCATAAATGATATGACAGACTTTGGCAGTTTTTTATTAATATATGAGAGAAGTTTTCAAAAAATAAGAAAAAAATACTATTTATTTTACCCAAAAATAAATTGCTGCCGCAGGTTCCTATTTTCAAAAAAAAAAAAATCTTATTCTTTCTACTTTTCAAAATAAGAGACCAACACATGTGGCAACATGAAAAAATGGGCTGGAAAAATGAGATATGCGAAATCTGTCACGAAATCGAGTGGCTCCTGAGCAAGTGCGGAGCCAACTTCTTTTTTTTAGGGTGGGCAAAAAAAAATTTTTTTTTGTGGGGGATGCGCAAAGATGCTTAAGATTGATAGAATTATGGCAAAAAAAATTTTGAAGAGGGGGCAAAACACCCAAAATATTCCAAATTATCCCCTAAAAATTAATTTTTTTTTAGAGTGGGCCACCCCTTCCCCCCTCAATACATGGGGGATTCGCCCATGCTCGCGAGATGGCTCGAGCTCGTTTACAGTGGGACGAGAGCGGGAGATTGTGGGTTCGAGGTGTTAGTGTTGGGTAGAACACTAAATCCACCTTAGATTTAGGGTTCAATGCTACTACATTCGGTGTCTCGTAGTATGTCTCATCGGTGGGTAAGCTCCTTTCTTCAGGAACTATAAATCATGCATATCTGCGTCACACGGATGACGCCACTTCTATCCTTTCTCTCTGGATGCTTTGAGTGATTGATTTGCTTTATCTCTTTGCTGCCTTAGTCCCTCCGGTTGTTGAGATGAACTGTGTAAGTTAACTAAGCTACTTGAGTCCTTTCCCTTTGAGTAGGAACTTCTTATTCTCCCTTTGTGTGCCAATCCTGCTTTTCGGAGAGAATAATATCGGATCCTTAATCGAGAGTATTCTCGGGCCCTGGCCTGAGATGTAATTAACCATGGGGGCTTGTATCGTGGGAAATGAAATTTTACAAAAAATAAACCCCACTCGAACTGATGTATCGGGTGGGAGAAACCCCGTGACACTGATCAGGCTCGCAAATTATCATCCATCGGAGTGCGCTGGTGAGAGCCGCTATCCTCAATGATTGATCGTATATAGGATCTAATCTGCCATCCCATTGACCTACGTGCGAAGGGCGCGGAGGCCTGTGATCGTCTCTGTTCCTAGGGGTGGTGCAGTCATATACTCTCTGCACTCTGTAGCGGAGCGATGTCCTTTCGGAGGTCCACAACGAGCTCGAGTTCAAGCTCGCTTTCCGACAGATGAGTCGAGCTCGATAGTGCTAAAACTCGACTCGGCTCGTTTACACCCCCTAGTATATTTATTTGTTTTCTGAGTGTGGCATGACAGTAAATAGGAGGGGGATCAAGGGTAATTTGGGAGTGGTTTGGATGGACGGTCGATACTAATTCCCTTGATCATCGATTGTTTACTGGGCATTTGAATGTCTTAATGATATCAAAATTTGGCGATCTTGGGCTCGTTGGATTCGTCTCGTCGAGTCTCTCTCTTCGATTATAAGTATGTCACGTTTGGAAACCATTTGATCATCCAACTTATGATTTGATTTTCCAAAGATGCTTTCAGTCTTTGATTTGGACCCATTTGAGCTCGGATTGAGTCGAATTTGGTGTCGTTGGGTTCATATTTTCGAGACGTTATGTTCAACTATTAGTTTGCTGAAATCGGTGTTCAGATGGTCCCTACTTTAATTTTGGAATTTTCCAACTATATTTTTCCTCGAGATTTGTGCCCAATCAAGATAATTTTTTTATAATATATCACCTATAAATTTTCAAAAAATTTATGTCTGCTTACTTAAAACTTAAAGATCAAGCAAATGTCGTCTCTTCGGCGAGTATCTCCAACCTCCAAATACTTCCAAACTATACGTATAAGAGAAAAATACACAATAAACAGCCAATAAAAAAAATTTAATCACTACGGTGGATGCTAATGTGAAGACTTATGGCTCTCACAGTATAATAATGCATAAATGGATTAGTTAAAAGCATTCTATGTCTTATACAAAGCAACAATATTCGTACGAACCAAAGCCGCGTCCGGGAATCGAGCCAAATTAGAGTGCTATTTGGCCTTATATAATCAGATCTAAAGAGCCACATAGCAGCAGAATAGCTTATGAAAAAGCTTAAATAATCAGCTTATAGGATTAATTAAATAAACCAAAGTAATGAGCGTCTCATGGGAGAAGTATGGAGTAACCAAAGTCGCAATTGACAGCTGTGTTCTAACGACCTTTCTCTTATAAATACCAACTCTCTCTTCTCACCCAAGAGTACACCGGAACTTGTCTCCTCATCCCTTTTCCTTCCCCACAACCACAGACACCTTTCAGTCTCCTCCGGCGCCTCTCTGCCGCCGGCTTTGAGGTCTTCGGTGATGCTGTTACTTCGCGGCGGCCCCTCAAGGGGTCGCCTTTGGCCGGCTCTCGCAATGGCGTTTGCCCTTTTGTTGGCTTCGAATAATGTCATGGTATCTGCTGCAGAGGAGGAACCGTACATCTATGTGTCACCGCCGCCGCCTTCGCCTCCAGCTTACTACTACAAGTCTCCTCCGCCACCATCTCCGTACTACTACAAGTCGCCACCGCCACCATCTCCCTCGCCACCACCACCATATCATTACAAGTCCCCGCCACCGCCTTCGCCATCTCCGCCACCGCCATATTATTACAAGTCTCCGCCGCCTCCTTCGCCATCTCCACCACCACCATACCACTACAAGTCGCCGCCACCGCCTTCACCTTCTCCACCACCACCGTACCACTACAAATCTCCTCCTCCACCTTCTCCGTCTCCTCCACCTCCATATTACTATAAGTCTCCTCCTCCCCCATCTCCTTCTCCACCTCCTCCGTACTATTACAAATCTCCTCCTCCGCCTTCTCCTTCACCACCACCTCCCTACTACTACAAATCCCCACCTCCTCCTGAGAAATCTCCTCCTCCTCCGTACTACTACAACTCTCCACCTCCACCATCGCCTTCTCCTCCTCCTCCATATCACTACAAGTCTCCTCCTCCACCATCGCCATCGCCTCCTCCTCCATACCACTACAAGTCTCCTCCTCCACCATCACCATCGCCTCCTCCTCCATACCACTACAAGTCTCCTCCACCACCATCACCCTCACCACCACCACCATACTACTACAAATCTCCTCCACCACCATCTTCGTCACCGCCTCCACCATACTACTACAAATCTCCTCCACCGCCATCTCCGTCACCGCCTCCACCATACCACTACAAATCTCCACCTCCACCATCTCCTTCACCTCCTCCTCCCTATCACTATAAATCACCTCCACCACCAGAAAAATCCCCTCCCCCACCTTACCATTACCAATCTCCACCACCACCTTATTATTACAATTCTCCTCCACCACCAGCAAAATCGCCACCACCGCCTTACCATTACAAATCACCCCCTCCACCGGCCAAGTCCCCTCCCCCACCCTACTACTATGTATCTCCTCCGCCTCCCGCAAAATCACCACCACCGCCATATTATTACACATCTCCACCACCACCAACACACCAGTATCCTCCCTTGATTAAAGTGGTCGGACATGTCTACTGCTTTAAGTGCTATAACTGGAAACACCCATTAGATTCCAGCCACAAGAAGCTTTTCAAAGGTAGGTTTCACTCACCATAGCAAAACTTCAAATCAGACAGTAAACATAATAATTCTTCTTTTCTGTTTATCAATTTTTTTAACCTTCCATTCTGTGTTAGATAAAAAATTTATTCTAACAATGTTCTTTATACTTAATTAATTATAATTTGTTACATACATTTAAGCTTCATTCCCTACAGGACAACCATTAAAGCACCATGACTTTTTACCTGTTCAAGAATTATAAAATATTTTATTTGATTTTATAAAAAGAAAAAGACTATGTCTCCAAATGCCTCACAGCTCATCCCTTACATTGTCTCTTGTAGCTACTCAAATGTTTCAATCATATCGTCATCAATAACTAACATTTTTCTGACCAATAATGTTTGAATAAAGCAACGAGTGAATTAATAATTGGTTTACCCATTCTTTGTTTTATTGACAGGAGCCATTGTCAAGGCAATATGCAAGGCCGGCGAGAAGGAGTACATTGGCTATGGGAAGACCAAGGCATATGGCAAGTACAGCGTCAATGTTGAGGGATATCCTTACTGGAAGTATGGAGCCAAGGGCTGTAAGGTTGAGCTCCATGCGGCCCCTAAGGGCTCCATTTGTAACATTCCCACTAAGATCAATAAGGGATCACCTCTGAAGGTTGAGCATAAGTCCGACGATGTGATCGTTCTCAAGGCTAAATCTCTCGTATTTGCACCTTCACCACATAAGTACTATGAGGAATGCAAGAAGCACCACCAGCATTCGCCACCACCGTCAGCACCGATTTATCACTACAAGTCTCCACCACCTCCCTCTCCAACATATTACTATAAATCTCCACCTCCACCACCTTACTATTATAGTTCGCCACCACCGCCGGTGAAATCACCCACACCACCATATTACTATAAATCTCCTCCTCCTCCCTCGCCATCTCCTCCCCCTCCTTACTATTATAAATCTCCACCTCCTCCATCGCTATTGCCTCCACCTCCTTATTACTATAATTCCCCACCACCTCCTTCTTCATCCCCTCCTCCTCCCTATTATTATAAGTCACCACCTCCACCTTCTCCATCTCCACCTCCACCCTATTATTACAAGTCACCTCCACCACCATCACCATCTCCTCCCCCTCCATACTATTACAATTCTCCTCCACCACCACTGAAATCACCACCACCTCCATACTATTATAAATCTCCTCCACCACCTTCACCTTCTCCTCCTCCACCATACTATTACAACTCACCACCACCTCCCAGTCCATCACCACCACCACCTTATTACTATACGTCCCCACCTCCTCCAGTGAAGTTGCCTCCTCCTTATCATTACATCTCACCACCACCACCATCACCATCTCCACCACCACCCTATTATTACAAATCACCTCCTCCACCATCTCCATCTCCCCCACCTCCCTACTATTACAAGTCACCTCCTCCACCATCACCATCTCCTCCGCCACCATACTACTACAATTCCCCACCACCACCATCACCATCCCCTCCGCCACCATACTACTATAAGTCTCCTCCTCCACCATCTTCATCTCCTCCACCTCCTTACCACTACAATTCCCCACCACCACCATCACCATCCCCTCCGCCTCCTTACCACTACAGATCTCCACCACCACCATCACCATCACCTCCACCTCCTTACCACTATAATTCTCCACCGCCACCATCACCATCCCCTCCACCTCCTTACCACTACAGATCTCCACCACCACCATCACCGTCACCTCCACCTCCTTATCACTACAATTCCCCACCACCACCATCACCATCCCCTCCACCTCCTTACCACTACAGTTCTCCACCACCACCATCACCTTCACCTCCACCTCCTTACCACTACAATTCCCCACCACCACCATCACCATCCCCTCCACCTCCTTACCACTACAATTCTCCACCACCACCATCACCGTCACCTCGACCTCCTTACCACTACAGTTCCCCACCACCACCATCACCATCTCCACCACCTCCATACTATTACAAGTCACCTCCTCCACCATCACCTTCTCCTCCACCTCCTTACTACTACAACTCCCCGCCACCACCATTGCCATCTCCTCCACCACCATATCACTACAAATCACCTCCCCCACCATCACCTACTCCGCCACCTCCATACCACTACAAGTCACCTCCTCCCCCATCACCATCCCCTCCACCTCCATACTACTACAATTCCCCACCACCACCATCGCCATCTCCTCCACCCCCATACCACTACAAGTCACCACCTCCACCATCACCATCCCCTCCACCTCCATACTACTACAAATCACCTCCTCCACCATCACCATCCCCTCCGCCTCCATACCACTACAATTCCCCACCACCACCATCACCATCGCCTCCACCCCCATACCACTACAAGTCACCACCTCCACCATCGCCATCCCCTCCACCTCCATACCACTACAAATCACCTCCTCCACCATCACCATCCCCTCCACCTCCATACCACTACAATTCCCCACCACCACCATCGCCATCTCCTCCACCCCCATACCACTACAAGTCACCTCCTCCACCATCACCATCCCCTCCACCTCCATACTACTACAATTCACCTCCCCCACCATCATCGCCCCCTCCTCATCCTTACCATTACATTTCCCCGCCGCCACCATCACCATCTCCACCTCCAACCTATATCTACTCCTCTCCTCCACCACCAATTCCCTACAAGGCATAAATCAATCAACATTCTCTCCCCCTCATCTCCAAAGTAAGTTTAATCATCCCTTTCCTTCCATTTTCTAACTATTTCTTTTATGATTCTATAATCTAAAACTAACTAATTTTTTTTAATCTTGACATCTTCAGGTTATAGTGTTAGTAGTGGAATAAAGAGGGGTCAGAGAATAGGGAAGTCCCTGTCTCAAGCTCTTTATCTTTGTGTCCAGTGTTATGAGAATAATATGCAGAGGAATGCTCGCAAGAGGGTAACTAATCCTAACCAAAGTATTGCGAGACAAGTATTGGTGGGTTCCCTAAGGTCCTTCTTGGTTTTTGTAAGTTTTGCCATGATGAATAGGGATGACAAGCTCGTGCACGGAGTTTCAACTGCAGCTTTGAGAAGGAACAATAAAAGAAAAGAAATTTAAGGAGTGGTTGGTCATTGTTTGTTCTTTTTATGTTGGTTTTTTTAGTTATTCATGTATTTCTTTTATGTATATTGAGCCAGAAGGATTTATTTGTCCATTGCCGAGTTCAAGTTTCTTTGTGATATCTTCTGCTACATATTCTCTAATAATTATATATATAATATAATAACAGCTCTTTGAGGCTGCTGTTTGTTAGTTAGCTCAAGGTGCTTTATAATCTAAGATTGAGTAATTAGGCCAGTTTACAGATAATTATTTGATAAGACTGTTAGTTTAGTTAATAAAAATTTCAAAAATTATTGTGAAAGTTTTGGGCTTGAATTCCTAATACATCAATAACTTTTATGTTTCTTTCACTCAAATTTTCTCAAAAAAATTATCTAAAATAGTGTAATTGTAAGGTAAAAACTTACTGTGGCACTGACACAAGTCACCAAATGATTAAAATAATAATAAAATAATTAATTTATTAAATATAGTAACTAATTAATTTACTGTGGCACTCACATATCTCTATACTCAAACTGGCCTAAAGATCATCAATTATGAAGAGAAATGAGTACTTTTTTAAATAGAGACAGAAAAGAAAAAGCACTATCAAACATTTTAAGATTCTACTAAAAATTTGTGCATGCAAACTGACATAAATCAAGATTCCAAGCATATTTAGGCTTCGTTTGGGACAGCTTTTTAACTGCTTCCTAAAGCAGCTTTTAAGTACAAAATTTTAAATTAAAATTTTAAATTTTAGTACTTAAAGCCGCTTTAAGAAACAGTAAAAAAGTTATCCCAAATGAAGCCTTAGGCTTCATTTTGAACGTCTTTCTTGTTGCTTCTTAAAGCAGTTTTCCAGTTCAATAATTCAAATTTTTATACTAAAAAGCTGCTTTAAGAAGAAACAATAAAGCTGTTCCAAATGAAACTGTAATCTTAAGATAATGATGCTTTATTCTAACAAGAGATGGCTAACCAATGTGCCATGCCATGCAAAAGATGGTGCTCTACAACACTTACTTTTAATGTGAAAAAAACTTTAAACTTTGCATAAAGTAATAAGCCATGCACATGCATAATTCCAAGCAAAAAATAATAAAATATACCTAAGAAAAATCAAAGAAATAGAAAGCAATGGTACCATCAACCACCTAATTGACTAATTGCACTAGAGATAAAGATATGAACAATCAATTGAAGGGCCCATTTTACAGCCTTACACAACTAAAGCTCATTTCCCACTTGCGTTGGTTTTCCTTTGGATGCTTATAGTGTTGAGCTGGCTAGTGAGAAAATTCTTCCCTTTAATGCGTACTGTTTTGGTTTTTGCTTCATCAGTGGAATTTGGAAAGGAAAGGCTTGCTGTATATCACTTTACACTGTAATTCACATGTCTTAGCTTAAAATGATGACAGTATGGCGATAATGGAAGCTTTCCTTTTGAAGGAATGGTGCTATTTCGTGTAGTTAGTGAGATTCAATGCCTCTCAGAAGTTGTTTATTGTCTACGTACCATTTTCAGTCTCGCGTATTTAATACTGAGATGCAAATGCAAAACAGTAAAACTGTCAATTTTGAAAGAAGTTATTCTGTGCGGAGACCGGATGCAGAACGTCGTCCGCAGGGGCGGCGGAATAATGGAGCCAGAAATTTTTATTAGTGGGGGCATAATTTAATAATTTGTAAAATACTCTTAATTTTTTAGGATGACTTCTTTTGTCTATTTATTTTATTAGTTTATAGTGAAATAATAAATTTAACTTTAAAAAATATCAATATTTGTTTTTAATAAATTATTAATTCCATATTCTATTAGTTGTATTACATAAAATTCTATTATTTCCATTTTTTTACTTTAAATATTTAAGAATTTAAATGGTAGTTTTATTTTTTAAAAAATTAAAATATAAATATAATTTGAAGATTGCGAACTTTCTATGAAAAAAATTATTCTGACTTATTAATAAATATATTATTATGCACTAAAAAGACTTATTAAATAACTATTTTATTTATTATAAAATGGTTATCAAATACAATTAAGTTGGACTATTTTAAAACTACTACTCATAATGAATTACCTTTTTAATATTTGTATATAAAAATAGTTAATAATAATTAGTCTCTATCCAAAAAGTTTGTAAAAACAATTTAAAATTATATTTTAAGAAAAAAGTTTATAGCAAAAGGGGTAAAAAATATCTCATGGAAAAATTTATGTAAAAACAGAAATAATTTGTGAAGATAAATATGTGATAAAAATATTATTTTTAATTTATCAAAGTAACAAGAAAATAAGAGCATTTATTTTATATAACTAAATCCCAATTTTTTTACAGACCTATTTCAAAGAAAAAAAAAATATTTTAATGAAAATTCTTCAAATCGGATTTTTTTTTTTTCTAATGGCTGAATGTGCCATCCCCACTCAACCACTCCACAGCCATCTTAATTATGAAAGCTGGAGAGAGAGAGAGAGAGTCCTTACTGTGCCTGATTGATGCAAGCTGGAGAGAGAGAGAGAGAGAGAGACCTTACTGTGCCTGATTGATGCCTAGACTCTAAGGGCCTGCGGTCAGGAGGGAAAAACTTATAAAAGTGACTCCCGCCTGCAGTTCTTCCTCATCCCGCCTGCAGTTCTTCCTCATCGTGGCTCCACAGTTGCTCCACTTTTCCTCTCCATGCAATCCTTCTTCATCACCACCAACCGCATCTACAGCAAAATATTTAGTCAAGCCAGTGGGGACACGTGCCCCCGGTGCCCCATTTGTGGCTCCGCCACTGATCGTCCGGAGATCAATCAGAATGCACCACGTTAACGGTACTGAGCCGCGGTGCCGAGTAGTACCAAGCCACAGTACCAAGCACAGAGGTGACGTGGCACATTCTGATTGATCGATCTCCGGACAGCGTTCGGCGTCCTCACATAATAATTAGTACAATTTTGTAGTACTGCATGAACATAATATTTTTCTTTTTAACGGTAACATTCTGTTCGAGTATAAAGTATCATATTCAAATTACTTGGAAGCAACAATTAGCAGCTTAATTTATGGAAACAGGAATGTATTAGGTGAAAATGTTTAGTAAAAAAGTGTTCAGAAAGTAATGCGAAGTTTCAAGGAGTTGTTATTGTGCCATGAAACCTTCAAATCTATGACAGCAAAGTTCTTAATTAAAGCACAGCACTGACATCAAAGAATAGGGAGAGGAATTAAAATATGTATGTATGTGCAGGCCACCATCATTATGATATTTTGCTATCGCCTAACACAGCTCTTTTTTTACTGTTTCAATTGGTTCATGCAAGCTAATGATGTATAATAGCTAAGTCAAGTTGTTAGTTTGAAGTAGTCTAGTATTGGTTGATAACTATACATTTTTAAATGGAAGAAGAGATTGTTTGCCGGGCGGCGATTATGATTATGAGAAGAATAGTACAGATAATGTATGGGTTCATTATAAATACATCACTATTGATTATGATTATGAGAAGAATAGTACATATAATGTATGAGAACAATTGGGGTAACGATAATGAATGAGGTATTTAGTGAATATTGGATGGTTGTGGGATGGAGATGGGGCAATATCATAGTGTGGTGGGCATAGATATGATGGTTATGTACAGGGTGGTCATGGGTTACAGTTGTTTGAATTGGTTGTCTTATAGGCATGATCGATGGTTTAAAGTGAGGTGGATGTGAACTTTTGCTTGGTTTAAGTTGTGAACAAGCTTCAACAACTTTTTATATAATTCATCAAATATGAAAATAGTTTTACAAGAATAAATAGTTTAATAGAATGTCTTGTAGTCGTCGTCTTTGAATTTGCTAAAAATTTTTAGAGATTGATTGAATGTTTTTAATGAGGGATCGAATGAATGTGATCTTGCAACTAACTAAAACGGCCATTAGAGAGCTTGCGTAGGTGGTGGTAAGAGTAGTCCATGCATGCTTCAAGCAATGTTCTTATAGAAGCTATAATGTGAGGGATCCGACCATGACAGTGAGAATGAGGTCGTTAATGGAATTTTTATATATGGGGTCCTACGCTTAATCTAATATTATCAAATCCATAGGGTGCAAGCCGGATTTCATATGGGCCTTGTAGAATTTTTAGAAGGTATAATTTTTGAATGTAAATTTTAGTGGTGTTGAAGTGTTGTTATTGATGGAAATCACGGTGTTGTTGGATTCATGAAGATTAAAGATAGTAGGGATTATGTTTGTGGTGGCCGCGAAAGTGGGCGTGCTCATTTGGTTTGGGAGTAGTACTAAGGCCATTGAATGCATTGATGCTATAACTTGATAGCAATAAAGAGAGAAATTTGATAACATATTTTTTTATTCATTATTTGGTGAATAAATTATGATGTACCTATACAAGTGATAGGCAACCTTTCATAATAATCATAAATGATCAAATGAGTTATTACAAATGACATTAATCAAAGAATAAGTGTTCTATTGACAATGATAATAAATTACTAACTTTTTTTTTTAATAAATTACTAACTTGATGTCATTGATATCACTAATATAGACTATTTAATTATAAATAGGCTCAATCAAATCATTATTTTCCAAAGGCCTATATCATTAACCATACTCCAATTTAATTTTTAACTTATTTTTTATATTGATAAAATTTTTCTTAATTCACAACATTTATTCATCCATCTATACATAGGTTGACATTAACTTTTCATCAATTAATCTCTCAAATTCACACATAATTACATTTTAGTTCATTTATAAATAAATATTTATAAACATAAACACCCTTTGTCTCTTTCCCTCTTCGTATCACACACATACACAATTATTTATGTGTTGTGAGAAAAATATGCCTATAAATATTTATTCATTCTTCGACTAATTTAATTTAAGGGTTCATTAATTGATTTGGTGCATTATTAGTGTAAAGCAGAAATAATTCATTTTTTTTTATGTATTTGATATAAAGTAAAATTAGTGTAGCCTATTTTTGCAAGGAAATTGAAATATCTCAAAAAGGCTTTTGATGAATTAAAAAATTTGCCCAAATTTGATAAATTCATTATATAATGTGTCATATGACTATTTAAGACCTAAATCATATTCCTATATTAATGACACCAATCTCTAC